ATATTTAATTATTAAATTGTAAATATACATCTGTGTGTGACACAAAACTGAATAGAAGATATATATATAATAATTATCATCCTTTATAATGATTAAGATGAAATCAATGTTTTTTTTTTTCTCTTAAAATCATTTCTGTATCAATAATTGGTGTGTTGGGAATGGACAATATTTTAATATCTTTTTTTTTTATTTCTTTACTTTTCTGAAGGTTTACACTTGATGTTTAGTTAAGACGTATTCCTGTGATATGTTGTTGTTTTTTTTTTCTGTCAGGACTTCCAGCCATTAATTGTAACAGTATATACACCTCTTTTGCTATGGCTTTTTTTCTTTTGTGACTTTTTAGTTGATCTATTGTATAATAAAACTATTAATATGAAATATTCTTATAGATTTATCAACATTAAAATTATAGTGTTGATCTAATAATGGTTGTTTCTCTAAAAAGTTGTAACAAAGAGTGTCTTGTGTTATAACACTCCTGAATATTTTACATGAACACAATAAAATGTTTGGGCACACAACATCATGCAGTTTTAAGTTAAGGTTTTAACAATTTAGCAATGACAGCATATGCCATTTGCTTTTGAGGCAAGTCTATGAGTACCCTATTTCTTTCAATTACCAGCAATTTTCAGGTATTCTTCTTTGAATTCAAACAATTATTCTATAGCTTGATAAAACACTTTAACTTAAGTTTTCTGTTTACAATCTGTATGGGTATAGACTAGACCTCTTCCATTTGCATTTTTAGGCCCTGACTCAAGTTCCTGTTAATCTTTTGTACATGTAGAAAAAGCTTTAAACCTACAACGGGAAATACAGAATTATTAGACAGACCGTATATGGAAGAAGTTTTGACATTCACAGAAAACATTTTTTCTGAGTCAGATTTAAAATGTCTCATTAGCATACAACTAACATCCGCTGCCATTTTAATTATTTCTTTTCCGTGATCATGTACATGGCTTTGACGTGTCTTATGTATTAATAAAACATCTATAACAGGAAATACAAAATTTAGACATGGCTATATATGGGAAAAGTTCTTTTGTTTGAGTTTGATTAAAAATATCCTATTAATATAAAACTAGCATTTTTGTAACCTTTTATAGCTCTTACGTAGGTTTCTGGTTTTCACCTTGACTAAATCAAGCACATTTACAGGCTAATTCTTTTCAAGACAGGTAATCCCTGTAACAAGTCAAAACTAAAAACCAGGAAATATTATGAATTTTTAAATTCAATCATTGTTTGTTTTTTAATTTCAATGTGAACAGATTTGGACATTTTATTATTTTCACAACAGTAAATAATGTGAATAGAACATAGGAAAACTGCGGAACAAGTTTAAAAATTTAAAACCAACTGTTTCGAGTATTCACTACCCTTTTTCAAAGTTTTTATTTTTTATTGTGTTTAAAGTCCAACAATAAAGTAAGTAAAGATCATAAGACTAATTTTCAGGTTTACTGGTGAGAGAATAATTCATTACATGAAGGAGTCTCTCCAAGCATAATTTCAGGCACATTTAGCCAGCATCTGGGAAAAGCACTAGAAGTTAGGTAAGCTAGCTGGATAGCTTCCTCATATGAAAGTCCCTAAACTCCCTGGCAGGATTTGAAAGGGGAAAATAACAGATTTTGAGTGCAAGAATTTAACTACAGACACTTCTCGAATTAATGCTGTCAATAAATTCTTACTTGTTAAAATGAAAGTATCAAGTGACCCCTCAGTCAGAGTCAATATTAACCGAAGGGGCATAATTTATATTGGTTTTGTAAAAGTCCACAAGGTAAAGCTAAAATTAATGCAAAAAATCAAATCTTAGTTCTGCAGGGCTTTGTAGTTTCACAAAATAAGTCTCAAATGTATTTCCCTATATAAGATTTTATAAAGCAAGGGACAGGGCAATTTTTTATCTCAGGAAGCCCAAACTTGTGGTCTGCACATAATCTCTGAGTTACTTACTAACTAACAGTTAATTTCCTACTAACAGTTCAAAAGACCTTGACCTTGGCCTGAGGAAGGTCAAACTTGTCAAAACTCACGGATGACCTGGTGCTTAACAATATATGCCAATATTCTTACGGACATATAAATAATGCATAATTATAAAAACAATTGTTTTCAGAAGTCTAAAAGCTCTTCTTTAAGTCATGATAAACAAGTATTCTAAGTTTCATGCTGATGTTATTAATTTTTAGTTTTGAAACCATTCTCTTGACAAACACTCAGTTAAACAAGGGATAACTCCTAACACATTGTTTTGAGAATTATGCCCCTTGTCTTACAACTACATCTCATCATGATTATTAAGTACTTAAAATTGTTCATGTTGATACTTTTAAAATTGTTGGAGATAATTTATGGTCTTCATTTAAGATTTTTCATGAAAACAACTATACAGCAATTGTTATAAATAGCTCAACCTTTTCTTCAAATCAGAAGAGCTCAACATTTTGGTTTTTAAGTAACACAGGAATATACAGAGAGCAATCATTCATATACAAAGAAACTTACAGGCTCCATGTAAGGTAAAGATATATTAAAACAAATATAAAATGTAATCGTATAATTGAAATATCACCGTGATACTTAGAAACACAATCTTTCCAAGACGAATCCCCTATATTCTCTTATTACAACAAGACAGATTCCAAATAACTTTCTTGTTTTCTAATTTAGAATTTTTCCTCCGTCAGACAAAATTGATTTTTGCCTGCAAACATTAAGCACATAGTGGGAGATCTGTTGTTTGGTAGAATGTCAGGACGTTCTTACTGTTCCCCATTAAATGACACATAAATAGGATTAATGTGCCAGCTTGAAAAATGTCTTCATCACAATCTATCTTAAGATTTATCCTACGCATTCATCAGCATTCATCATGGGGAATAATACTGCATCAAAGAGCGTTTATTTTATTATTCCCTGAAACGAATCTCGAATATTAAATATCCAATCTAATCGTGCTTAAAAACTTCTCTTTTATTAAAATTTGATTTTGTATTTCAGATGATTTATAATCTGTAACTTTCACAAATCTATAATCAGGATGATATACTCAGATACTAAGAATTCAGGTTAAATTTCAAATTACTAAATTAAAAGTGATGCTGTTAAATCAATAGGAACATTTTAATCAACACAAACTTCATTTTAAATTCTCTCATTTTAATTATCTCATTTTAAATTCACTCATTACTTAAATTCTTCATTAACACTAATGCATGGATATATTTTTATAATGAAAACAAACTCTGTTTTTCTAATAACATTAATTTTACATTTGTTTTAATTAACTGTTGATATATCATCACCTTAGTTCAAGAACGGGTTAATGCCTTATATAATTTTATAGGAATTAATCCATTACTGCACTAAGGTGAAACAAAGAGATTTATTAATATACTCAAAGTTCAGATGGAATATTATTCATCCATAACTTTTAGTTTGCACTTGACTTAAAGGAAGGAATAGGTGCAGAATGAAGTTGTTCAATAGAACTTCTTGATTCTTCAACCCTGGCCTATTAACTGTAATAAACTTTCATGGTAACTCTAATTTACTGATCACAGTAAACTTTTCATGGTAACTCTAATTTACTGATCACAGTAAACTTTTCATGGTAACTCTAATTTACTGATCACAGTAAACTTTTCATGGTAACTCTAATTAACTGATCACAGTAAACTTTTCATGGTAACTCTAATTAACTGATCACAGTAAACTTTTCATGGTAACTCTAATTTACTGATCACAGTAAACTTTTCATGGTAACTCTAATTAACTATCAGGGTAACTCTGTCATGTTGACCATGCATGCCCCTACATTTTACTATTTTATCAGTGTACATACACTGCCTGACAGATTCACAGATGCATGGACAAGGGGTAAGGGGCTTATCTATTCAAGCCTTTAAGACAAAAAAGTTTGTCCTACACAAAACAGCATACTAACTATTAGATTTAAGGGGAGCAGTGGCCTAGTGGTTAAGGTGTCTGCCTCTCAACCCAGAGATCATGGGTTCGAGCCCTATTCGGGTTATGACCATGTTTCTTCATATGACACCAGTACTGGTTGGTTCCAGGAAGCAGACTCGAATTAATATGAGTAATTAATATGATTAATATAGGTTGCAAAAACTTGTTTCGCAATCAAGCATAAATAAATATGTTTAAACCAACTATTAGACCAATTTATGGCTAAATTCTGTGTAGGAAAGTAACATTTAATAATATGTATCTGAAATACCAGTAGTTTTCATTCAGATAATATAAAAGCGGTTCATGATCATTTATGATGCTTGATGATAAGCAAGTTAAACAGTTATATGGAGGGGTCATTTATGTTACAGCTACTTTGTAGCATATGTTGCATCTACTCTGTAGCAAGTGACACAAGAAGCTTTTATAAGATTAAATCATTCATAGGCACAGATAATATATAAACCATTCTGTTTAAATCACTCTTTCAATACCTTTTTACTATAGTTTTTTTATGTACTGGACAAATATTAATAAAATAACAATAATCTGTTCATTAAAAAAAAATATTTACGTTCTTTGACATTTTGAGGGTTTAAACCCTTCTTTTTCAAGCAGCCTATATAACTATAATTCACATGAACAATAAAACTGTCACCAAAAGAGATTATTTATGATGATGTGAGAATATATCACTTGTAATATGTATTTTCAAAAAGATTTGTTTGGGTGTAGGGGGAGGATTTACATTGCACCAACACTGCACAAGGTCATATGGTGACTTTTCAAGTTTTCCTGGTGGAAGATCCCAGGTGCCCCTCCGTGCATTATTTCTTTCAGGTAAGAACAAGCACCTTAGTAGAACCAAACACTTTCCATAAAGTATAACCAAACACTTTCAATAAGCCGGATTCATATTCAAACAGTATAAGGGAAATAAATAGAGATGACTTTGCAGACTTTTATTATTCAGGATATAAATATAATATAGTGAAGATTTTTTTTACCTTTCCCCATGACTGGATCTAGATAGTAGTCCATATGCTGTCCATGCATGATGGCAAGGTCAGATAACTACAGAATGGTTCCAATTTTAAATTCATTATAACACAGCGTAATTCCAAAATCTAATGGCCAGTCTGAAACAGCTGCAGTGCTGTTGTAACACTCTTTTATTTCTGAAATAAAATAAATTAATAATAATTTTAATAAGGCTGATATTCATGTATATAATTAACAAATTTGTGTATGCAGAATATGCCACAAAGGTCTGGAAAGGGGAGATTTCTCGGAAGCAAAGGAAACTAGAACTATCACTAAATGTGATTAATACCCCCACAAGTCTGCTTCGGAAATGAGGATGTTACTAGTAACAGAATACCTTGTAATAGAATTGAAACATAGAGTTATGGTTGTGGGCAATTAAAGATAATTGTGGTTCATGTATATTGCATTTCCTTTCAATGTGGTTGGCCATTGATGAAGTTTAATTGAATTACTCTGTAATAAGTCCAGAAAGACAAAGAAAAGGAACAAAGGGCAATAACTCTATAAATACTGAAGATAGAGTTATAGTTCTTGTGCACTGCACTTCCTCTTATTGTGCTTGACCATTGTATGAAGTTGTTTTGAATTCCAACCAGTACGTTTTAAGTTATGCTCCGGACAAGGAAAAGTATCAAAGGGCAGTAACTCTGTATTTTTGTCAAAATGGAGTTATGGCTCTTGTGCAATGCACTTCCTTTTTAATGTCCTTGACAACTGTATGAAGTTGTACTGAATTCCAAACAGTAGTTTTTCAAGTTATGCTCTGGACAAGGAAAAGTAACAAAGGGCAATAACTCTGTAATTAGTCAAGATGGAGTTATGGTTCTGTGCACTGCACTTCCCCTTATTGTGCTTGACCATTGTATGAAGTTATAATGAATTCCAACAATAAATCTTCAAGTTATGGTCCGGACAAAAGAAAGCAATGAAAAGTAAACAAAGGGCAATAACTCTGTAATTAGTCAAGATGGAGTTATGGTTCTTGTGCACTGCACTTCCCCTTATTGTGCTTGGCCATTGTATGAAGTTGTTTTGAATTCCAACCAGTAGTTTTAAAGTCATGCTCTGGACAAGGAAAAGAAACAAAGGGCAGTAACTCTGTAATAAGTCAAAATGGAGTTATGGTTCTTGTGCACTGCACTTCCTCTCAATGTGCTGGACCATTGTATGAAGTTATAATGAATTGCAACAATTAGTCTTCAAGTTATGGTCCGGACAAAAGAAAGCACTGGAAAAGTAATAAAGGGCAATAACTCTGTAATTACTTTAGATAGAGTTATGGTTCTTATGCACTGCACTTCCTCTCAATGTGCTTGACCATTGCATGTAGTTATATTGAATTCAAACCATTAGTCTTCAAGTTATGGTCCGGACAAAAAAAAAGAAGGCAATGGAAAAGCAACAAAGGGCAATAACTCTGTAATTACTTTAGATAGAGTTATGGTTCTTGGGCACTGCACTTCCCCTTATTGTGTTTGACAATTGTATGAAGTTGTTTTGAATTCCAACCAGTAGTTTTCAAGTTATGCCACGGACAAGGAAAAGTAACAAAGGGCAATAACTCTGTAATTAGTCAAGATAGAGTTATGTTTCTTACGCACTGCACTTCCTCTCAATGTGCTTGACCATTGTATGTAGTTATATTGAATTCCAACCATTAGTCTTCAAGTTATGCTCCTGACAAGGAAAATGCAACGGACAAAAAAAAAAGCAATGGAAAAGCAACAAAGGGCAATAACTCTGTAATTACTTTAGATAGAGTTATGGTTCTTATGCACTGCACTTCCTCTCAATGTGCTTGACCATTGCATGTAGTTATATTGAATTCAAACCATTAGTCTTCAAGTTATGGTCCGGACAAAAAAAAAGAAGGCAATGGAAAAGCAACAAAGGGCAATAACTCAGTAATTACTTTAGATAGAGTTATGGTTCTTGTGCACTGCACTTCCCCTTATTGTGTTTGACAATTGTATGAAGTTGTTTTGAATTCCAACCAGTAGTTTTCAAGTTATGCCACGGACAAGGAAAAGTAACAAAGGGCAATAACTCTGTAATCAGTCAAGATAGAGTTATGTTTCTTACGCACTGCACTTCCTCTCAATGTGCTTGACCATTGTATGTAGCTATATTGAATTCCAACCATTAGTCTTCAAGTTATGCTCCGGACAAGGAAAATGCAACGGACAAAAAAAAAGCAATGGAAAAGCAACAAAGGGCAATAACTCTGTAATTACTTTAGATAGAGTTATGGTTCTTGTGCATTGCACTTCCCCTTATTGTGTTTGACAATTGTATGAAGTTGTTTTGAATTCCAACCAGTAGTTTTCAAGTTATGCCCCGGACAAGGAAAAGTAACAAAGGGCAATAACTCTGTAATTAGTCAAGATAGAGTTATGGTTCTTGTGCACTGCACTTCCTCTCAATTTGCTTGACCATTGTATGTAGTTATATTGAATTCCAACCATTAGTTTTCAAGTTATGCTCCGGACAAGGAAAATGCAACAGACGTCTGGACCGACCGACCGACCACCGGGTGACTCCTATATACCCCCCCCCCAAACTTCGTTTTTGGGGGTATAATAATGAAAATTTAAGACTATTTAATGGAGTTACTATACTCTGTTATTATAAACAAATGAAACTTTTTCTTGCAATATTTAAAAGTGACCTTGACCTATAACTTCATACAACGGACAATACAGCTCATTAATATTTGCATGAAGTAAACTAAAATCCATCGATGCATGTTAAAGATATGCCAAGGAAAAAGTCTGAAAATCTTATTATCTGTAGTGACCTTTAGTTTAATCTTTCCTTAAAATAATATTGAAAATAATTTATGCATGTATCCCTCGGTCTCTGAGTATAAAAATTCAACAAAGAATTTGTCATGATGACTACATGTACATTCTTTGTTTGTTTGGGTTTTACATTACACCAACACAGTATAGGTCATTTGGCGACGTTCTAGCTTTATTGGTGGAGGATGACCTCAGGTGCCCTTCCGTGCATTATTTCAGGCACGAACGGGCACCTGAGTAGAACCACTGACGTTCTGTAAGCTAGCATGATAGCTTCCTCACATGAAAGAATCTAAAGTCCCTGTCGGGATTCCAACCCACAGCAGTGACGGGCAAGTGGTTTCAAGTCAACAACCTTAACCACTCAGCCACACACTACATGTACATATGACACTATGTTAAATATTGGTGAACATTGTATCAAGTAAAATTCCTCCAGCTAGGTTTATGGCAAAGCTGATGCCAAGGGCATTTTGTATGATAGAACTGTAAACTAAGGCAAAACCAAAACTTCAAAACCAATGGCAACAAAAATTACAAAAATAATTGGAAAAAATTAAAATTGATCTGTAAAAATATTAACTCATAAACTTGCAAGAATGTTACACTCAGCTACTTGCAACATTGACCAATAGAAACAGAACTACTTCCAACAATACTTACTCAAATTCTGGTCACAAAAAATAAAACAAAAGTAACTAAACTTCCTGCCACAAAAGCAACTAAACTACTTGCAACAAAAGTAACCCAACAACTCACAAATAAGTAACATAATCAACTAGTTGCAACAAAATGTAACTGCAACACAAGTAACTCAACTACTTGCAAAATTAGTAATAAAACTTCTTGCAACAAAATTAAATCAATGTCTTGCAACAAAAGTAACTCAACTTCTTCCAAAAATGGTAACTCATCTTCCTGCAACAAAAGTAAATCAACTTCTTGCAACACAAGATAACTAACTTCTTGTATAATAAATAACTCCATCACTTGCATCAAAAGTAACTACACTACTTTCAACAAAAGTAACTAAACTACTTGCAACAAAAGTAAATCAACTTCTTTAAATAAGTTAACAAATGTTTTGTAACAAAAGTAACTCAACCACTTTCAACAAAAGTAGCTCAAAAACTTGCCACAAAAGTAAATCAACTGCTAGCATAACAAGAGCCACCGCCGGGCGGGGGCAACGCTCGACTTTTTACTTTTTCTAAACGCAAACATAGAAAGGTTTGAACATATATTGATGTTTCCTTTTTATAAATTTAGTTGGTCTGTCTTGTCACATTAGTTTTGTTTATATATTTTGTAAATATATGAATAGAAACATTAAGCATATTTCTAAAAATAGCAACAGTACGCAATTTCTAAAAATAGAAAAAATGACGCAATTTCTAAAAATGGAAAAAAATGACGCAATTTCTAAAAATAGAAACAATGACGCAATTTCTAAAAATGGGGAAAAAAATGACGCAATTTCCAAAAATAGCAACAATGACGCAATTTCTAAAAATAGAAAAAAATGACGCAATTACTAAAAATATCAACAATGACGCAATTTCTAAAAATAGAAAAAAATGACGCAATTTCTAAAAATAGAAAAAAATGACGCAATAAATAAAAATATCAACAATGACGCAATTTCTAAAAATAGAAAAAAATGACGCAATTTCTAAAAATAGAAAAAAATGACGCAATTACTAAAAATAGCAACAATGACGCAATTTCTAAAAATAGAAAAAATGACGCAATTTCTAAAAATAGAAAAAAAATGACGCAATTTCTAAAAATAGCAACAATGACACAATTTCTAAAAATAGAAAAAATGACGCAATTTCTAAAAATAGGAAAAAATGACGCAAATTCTAAAAATAGCAACAATGACGCAATTTCTAAAAATAGAAAACATGACGCAATTTCTAAAAATAGAAAAAAAATGAAGCAATTTCTAAAAATAGAAAAAAATGACGCAATTTCTAAAAATAGAAAAACATGACGCAATTTCTAAAAATAGAAACAATGACGCAATTTCTAAAAATAGAAACAACGACGCAATTTCTAAAAAAAGAACAAAAATGACGAAATTTCTAAAAATAGAAAAAAATGACGCAATTTCTAAAAATAGCAACAATGACGCAATTTCTAAAAATAGAAGAAAAAAAATGACGCAAATTCTAAAAATAGCAACAATGACGCAATTTCTAAAAATAGAAAAAATGACGCAATTTCTAAAAAATAGAAAAACATGACGCAATTATATACATGTATATATATATATATATATATATATGATATATATATATCTATATATGTATATATATATATATATACATGCATATATATATATATATATATATATATATATATATATATATACATATATATATATATATATATATATATATATATATATATATATATATATATATATATATATATATATATATATATATATATATATATATATATATATATATATATACCTGCATATATGTATATATATACACACACACATTTTATATATATATTTATATATAATACATATACTATACATACACACACCCCGATAAATGCACAATCTGAGAAAATTCAGTAATATAACCTTCAAGGTCAAGGTCATTAAAGAGCCCAAGCAAATTTGGGTTTGATAAACAACAAGGTCTGGTCCTTAAGAATGTTCTGTTATAAAATGAAGTTTATCCCTTCAAAAATAGCAAAGTTACAGTCAGTTACTGCCAAAACAATGAAAATTTCAATAATTTGACCTTCAAAGGCAATGTCATTAATGAGTGAAGGTCAAGGTCTTTCGGTATATTTTTAACAGTTATCTTTGAAGATTATTATGTTCAAGTTTGAAGACAATCCATTCAAAAATAACAAAGTTACAGCCAAT